CAGTGTTGGGACCGGTCTTGTTCAACATCTTTGTCACTGACATGGACAATGGGATTGAGTGCGCCCTCAGCAAGTTTGCCAATGACACCAAGCTGTGTGGTTCGGTTGATAGGCTGGAGGAAAGGAATGCCATCCAGAGGGACCTTGACACACTTGTGAGGTGGGCTGATGTCAACCTCATGAAGTGTAACCATGCCAAGTTCAAGGTCCTACACCTGGGTTGGAGCAATCCCAGGCACAGCTACAGGTTGGGCAGAGAAGAGATTCAGAGCAATCTCCTTGTGGAGAAGGACTTGGGGTGTTGGCTGATGAGAAAATGAACATGAGCCAGCAGTGTGAGCTTGCAGCCCAGAAAGCCAACCGGATCCTGGGCTGCATCAAAAGGAGCATGACCAGCAGGTCAAAGGAGGTGATCCTGCCCCTCTACACTGCTCTTGTGAGACCTCACCTGGAGTATTGTGTGCAGGTCTGGTGTCTTCAACATAAAAAAAACGTGGAACTGTTGGAACAAGTCCAGAGAAGGACCACAAAGATGATCAGGGGACTGGAGCACCTCCCTTATGAAGACAGGCTGAGAAAACTGGGGCTGTGAAGTCTGGAGAAGAGAAGACAGCATGGAGACCTCATAGCAGCCTACTAGTATCTGAAGGAGGCCTATAAGAATGCTGTGGAGGGACTCTTCATTAGGGACTGTAGTGATAGGACAAGGGGTAACGGGTTAAAACAGGGAAGTTTAGATTGGATATAAGGAAGAAGTTCTTTACTGTAAGGGTGGTGATGCATTGGAATGGGTTGCCCAGGTAGGTTGTGAATGCTCTATCCCTGGTGGTGTTTAAGGCCAGGTTGGACAGAGCCTTGGATGAAACGGTTTAGTGTGAGGTGTCCCTGCCCGCAGCAGGGGCATTGGAATTAGATGATCTTAAGGTCCTTTTCAACCCTAACTAGTCTATGATTCTATGATTCTAAAATATAGCATAACAATGAAACATAGCTGCATGAAATTTTAGTAGATTCTTTCTGAATAACAAAATCTCTTGAAAGTTGTAGTCTACTTAGAGAGAGCATACAAAGAGAACAAGTGCAATTTCTTATATTTCCTGCTTTAAGCAATTAAATTGCTTGAGCATATGCCAGAAGTATAAAGCATGACACAAGAGATGTTCGTGCAATTTACAGAAGGCTTTCAGATCTCACTAAAGACTTCTGGAGAGGAGAACTGCTTAAATCAGTGTAGCTCTTTTCTGTGAGAATAACTCAAAATCATTCTTTTAAACATATTGACAGTAGTTATGCACCTCAAATAAGCAGCAAAGTATGTATCTGAATGTAGAACTTTCTTACAAAATATTATTGGGGATTGTGTATATTTGACTGAGCTAGCAATTGTTTAGGACATCCTGAAGGAAATCGTCATAGCTAATACTGGCATTACAAGTGGAATGTATTTCTTAACATCTTGCTTTCCAGTTTGCATTAACTTCATGTGTGCAGATGTTTTGCACAATGTAAGCACACTTTAGTTTTCTGGATGTTCATTTCTAGAAACTGCTAAAATAACTGGATCAAGACACTGTTTCTCAAAAGCAAAAAATGGCAAAAAAACCTGCTGAGTTATTAAGTTTGATTTTCAGAAATATACATTGTTCCAGCAAAGAAAAACTTGCAGACTTTTAAAATATTACTTAAAATTAAAGTGTCTTTATGCTGGCAGTAACATGAGATATTTTATTTTGAAAAAAGTTTGTAGAAAGATAAGTTTGAACTTTTTGGCAGTGGAAGTACCATGTCACCTTTATCTCCTCATCTTCATCAGTGAACTGATGGTCTTAGTGAGTATATTAAAAGATCTGAATATACAAATGTGCCATTTCAGGCATACACTTTTGATATGGACTTCCTCTCAAGAATATAATAGGGTCTAAAAGGAGAACTTTATCACAAAATCAGTGGCAGGAACAAGGCCTGTAAGTATTCCAATGGATGACAAAGCAATACTGAATTGAAAGTTGCAGCTCCTGCAATGTTCAGAAGCAACTGGAGTAATAGTAGTACTGATATTGCATTTTGATATACTACGAGTTTTGCATCTGTGCCATCTATCTGAAAAAAAATGTCTCCTGGTTACATGGTAAAAATTTGCGGAAACTGGTCTGACTTCAGCTTAATTTACATCAGTGTAACTGAAATAACAAAATTTGTTTTTAGCAATTGATACTAGTTGACAGAAAATCGGGAAAAGCAAATTTCTCTTCTCTAGTTCATACAAGTGAAATGTTGTTTGTTGAATTTTTTCCAAAACACAAATGATCTCTCCAATCAATAAAATATGTCCAATGCATATTTACTTTTAGCTCAGTATCTTTATCAGTCACAACAAATAAAACCATGACTCACCAGTGACTGTATAAATCAAATTATTCTGAAATTGGCTGTACCAAACCATACAAATGAAAATCTGGATCAGTCAGGCAGCAAGTTATTATTTATAACCTCATTTATTTATTTACATTCCTGAATAAAAAAATACTTACCTCAGAGTGTGAAAAGTCAGGGTTATTTCCAGGGCAGACTGGAAATGTGATCTTGAATCTAATGGACTTAACCCCTTAGGAAAGTTTCTTTCATTATGAACAACAACAAAAAAATCTCTGGATGTACTTCTCTAATTAACCTCCAGATAATCCTGAGTGACACTTACTTTAATAGATTTATAGGTCAATCAAATATCACTATCTGGTTAGAGTATGATCTGGTTTTCAGAGGGAAAGCATCTTACTAAAGGACAAAAAAATCTGCAAAATCAGTTTGACAGAGGATGGAGGTTGAAGACATTTTGTACTACTTACTGCCACTCTTAAGACAAGGACATCTGTCATAGTGAACAGAGAACAATCCTTCTCAATCCAACCCTTGATTTAATTGACTGGTGGACCTTAAATTTTTGGTTCAGGGAACTATCTAGAATTAACTTAGTCTGCACAAGAAATTCTAATGTGGAGTTGATCTGCTTGTCACAGTGTTAGCAGAGAGGAGATGACAAAGGCCAAACAACCTGAAAAGGTGATATGGTAGTTCTGGACATGAAGCTTGGATGTAGTAAAAATTTATGGAGAGTTTTAGAGCTGGGCCAGGTTTCTAAAGTTACCAAACTTTTCCTTTGCACTATGGAGCAAACTTGTAAAGACAGAGGGAAATCAAAAGTCTTATTTAGCTTGCCTAAGTATTCAGTGATCTCTAACACTCCAATCTTATAGGCACCTCCAGGATTTCTCCCAGTGCCACTGGTGGGCACTTGATCTTTAAAACCACAAAGAATATGCTATTATAAAATGGGAAGAGTGCAGGAGGATTTTTGTATCCTGATTTCATCTGTATTTATTTGTAAAAAATAATTTTCCAAGTACATTGCAGAGTATAGTTTCACCCTCCAAATTAACTGAAAATAACCCTTTTAGATGTGGTCATGGTGGACGATAGCTGGCAGTTGTTGCAGAAACATTAATAGAGTCCATGTGTAAATACACAACAATACAATCTTTAATTTCATAATTACATAATATTTTTCCTTGCCTCATTCAGTATTCAGTGTTCACTTAATGAACTCTTATTGCAGTGATTTATCACCTTCATTCTGTACGGCCCTTGGCATATTTACAAAAGTACTGTGTCATATCAGTTTCCTAAATAGTTTTTCTATAAAATCCCTCAATAAAGTACGTGAGTGCAGGTATTATTAATTAGAGAAAATATAAGAAGTATTAATTAATTTACCTTCACAGCTCCTGGCATGCTTCCTGTTGTACATGCAAACTATACCTACATTGTTTAACCTTGGAGCAATCACAGGCTCAACTATGACATTGGCACACTGCCCAATCCCGGAAACCTACAGCTGGGATCTATGCATATCATAGAGTGCTTACATATCTATACATAGTGCTTTGCCTTAAGTCTTTTTGTGAAATAGTCTTCACTGATTTGCCTACCTTCCATGAAATATTGCTGAAGGACATTCTGGGGTGTACAGGAGCAGCTTTCAGCATGAGTATAGACACATCTATAATTATACTGCTGCATTTACACAGCTGTTAGTGGTGTATTTGGACATAGCACAAAGGTTAGCCTTTGAGCACTTCATATATTATATACTACCTTACACCATCAGAGCACTGTACTACTGACATCAGCTGCTGCAGTCACTCAGACCCTCCTGAAATTTCAGACTTGGGCCTAAATAAGGAGTCCACAAAATGAAAACTGTACAAGTTGCGGCCACTTATGAAAAAGTTGACCTTAAATGAAATGCCAGCTATCAGAAAGAATTCTAGATGAACAGAAAACAGTCTCCAGAGCAACATTCACATCTAAGTGTAAGTTTTTGTGTTTCCTATAAATTTGATGGCCTTGAATGGTTTTTGAGTTTTGTCAATGGGATGAGGTAAAACATTATGAGTTGAAGATGACTATTGTTTTCTGAAGGTGTATTGCTGATCAGAAATATGTATTCAAGAACATTTCAATAAGAAACAAACATGTCATTTTAAACTAAAGTGACTTAGATAAGTAATTCCTATTTTTTCCTTAACAATATATTTGCCACATGCACCCTTTGTCAGTAAAAACTGTGTACACATGTTTTTGCATCAGTATCTTTGGAAAAGCTGCAGAAACAATTCATAGTGTAGTGTAAACTATGCTAAGCATGCAAACGGAATTAACTTTTGCCATTCAAAGACAAGATACCTACTTTACTATTTACTGTGAGAGTATTAGAGACAAAAAGAAAGATCACTTTAGGGGTCCAACTTAATCTGATATAATGAAATAGGAAGAAATAGTCTCTATTTCTCATACTCCTTATGTAGACATATACTTTTTGTAAAGGATTGTTTTCTTCTGCTTTCTTTTTTCCAACTGGAAATATTTGTACTTGCAGAAGCTAGTACAAGTGAAGTGAGCTTGGAAATCTGTAGGTCTGCTGGGAGGACTTATAAATTGGACCTGTATCTGATAAACAGATGGTTGGTATTATAACCTAAATAGATTCAAAGTTTCTTGGAAGTACCACACACCTACACAGACTATGCAGAATTATTTCTGCACATGCACAGACATCCCAAATAGATCAACTCTCACACATGTGTAAACCACCTGTGAAGCACATGGACAGCAGAGCTGATGCTTCTTTTGAGGCAACACATCCAGTAGCTGTAGAACATTTTTTTAGACTATGCCATCTCCTGACTTCCTCCGTTGATCATAATACTTTTGATAATGAACTATTGAAGTATGCGCTTTTTCTTGCTCTGGTAATAATCCTAGATATTATCGTAGATAGATAGTTGTCTTACTTTGTGGTAGATATGCGATCTCTACCATGAATTTTGCAGCACGAATTGCAATTCTTTGTAATGTATGACACAGCTTTACAAACCTCAAAACTTTTACCAAGACCTTTGTTTTTATCTTTCTTAATATTTTAATTTGCTTTTGACAGATGTTATTCAAACACCTGATGTAAGTTTACCTAACTGAAGTTCTTCTATTTCTCTTTTAGGTAATTTCTTTCTTTTTCTATTATTCCATACATTACATTATGAAGAATGTGTCCTTTTCAATTATAGATAGTAACTATATCTTGAATTACACACATTATAAGCAGAATACTAGCAAAATTACTGTCAATATAAAAAAAAATGTAGGATGAGTGAAATCAAATTATTGGATGATGTTCCTAAAACAGCCATTGAGTTGCATGATGAGCCAGATGCTGAGCTGTGCTTTCTCTCCTTGTCTGATGATTGTTTTGGAGCTTACAGGCAAAAATCGCAATATATTTTTCCTCATTTGTGATTTGAAAGATAGCCCATACAAGTTCTACTGAACAGTCTCTGTTGCTAGTACAACATGAATTTACTGTCAGTTTCATATTGCCTTTTCACACTTTTAGATTGTAGAGAGGAAACCAGAAGTTCACATTCCTCTCAGCATGTACAGTTTTGCTTCTATGAAACAGCAAAAAATGCAGCTTGTCTGTCTGTACAATTCAAATTATTTTTGTCCTTCTGATATTACAGCTTTGCATTTACATTTCAGTACCCTTCTCTGTCATGAAAACAGATGAACAGAGGAGTAACTATTTCTTTTCAAGAAGTATCTTCCTAACATAACAAAAATTGTTAGTGAAACAGAAATTGCCAACCTTTTTGACCCTTTAAGATGTATTTCAATATTTTCTCTCTGTGGAGAGCCACGGAATAAATCCACATTCCTCAGAGATTGTTTGTTTGCTTACACAGGGCTTGGGCGGAAGGAAAGGAAAACATGACAGCACCTTCATTAACTGTTCAGAAACAGCAACTGTTCCACAGGTATATGGATTTTATCTGGGTGAAAAGCAGAATTTTAATACACTAATATTTGTATGGCTGAAGCCCCTTGGGCTCACAATCCATATGACAGGAAATGTCCTCGAGAAAATATTATTTGGTTTATTATTCCCACTGTTTGTGGTGATTTACAGACTTCTTTGCACAAGTTTAAGATCTTAAAAATTCTCTCCTGGTGTCTATAGAATATCCCACTCACTTTACTGGTAGTGTCTCAAATTCAACATCTGGTGAAAATCGGAGGGGTAGTATAATTAGACCCTGAAAGCTTGTGTATGTTAGCTTCCATCCTGTTAATGTAATAAAAGCTCTTATTTTCAAACTTTTGTCATAGATTTATTCCTAATGCATAAAGCTAAATCCTGCGGAGTGATAAATTATTAAATAACCATAGCACACGTATTGAGCATTCCTGCAAAGCTGCTTACAAATAAGAAGTCAAACTATCCCAAATTAAACCACACTTTCTATCATGTTGTTGTGTTGGCTATTACTTTAAAGTAAAACTAATAATAGGGAAAAAAGTAGAAAATATTTCATACTATTGCCATTATGTTCTATAAGGAAAAAAAAACCTGAAACTAAACTGCAGCCAATGATGTTTGGATTTTCAAAAAAATTGACTAGTGCTTTGATGAAGAAAAAGGTATGATTCACTGGGGTTTTGCATTCTTGATTCTTACATGTCTCAGTTTGGATGTGCAATTTTTCTTCTTTTAACAAAAGCTATTAAAAAAAAAATGTAAACATTTCTTTATACTGACCTTTTTACTACAAACATTTGGGCACAGATCTATTGTAAATGGGTTAGAAGGAGATAAATCACTCTCTTTGGCACTTCCCATGGTTTGCCAACTTCGTTAGCCAGCTTCTGCAGATGCCCTTCCTGGCACCAAAAAGCGAGAGCCTGCAGGAAACCAAAAAAAAACCAGATTTCTCCTGATGACCATGAAGGCTTTGCTTGCTGTAGGAGAACACCATGTGCTTTGATAAATGCCACTGTGCTGAATAGGCATGGTAGGCACTTTAACTCTGTGACCTTCCTGAAGTTGACCATTTCCCCCTAGACTCTTTGACATCCCCTATAACATAGACTGTCAAAACTTCTAAAGTAAAAGAGAGTTGTATTTATTTTACTGTTAAGTCATCCTTTCTCTGTGCATATCTCAGGTGTCCTGGCAGTCTCCTGGACAATTTCATATGCTTTATTGTTTTGATCAGCTGTCTGCAAGGCTTTTTTTATTTGAGGGAGTGCATTCTTTGCACAGCCCCATTCTGTCACCTTGATATTTCATATGTTCCATTATTGCCCAGCCTAATTTCTAGAAATGATTCAGAAGAATTTTGTAGTCTCTTGCAGCATAAACATTGCTATTGTTACATATACTGTACTTGGAGACACAGATTTTGTTTTAGGAATTGTTTTTAGAGCCGTATTATCCACATTAAAAAATAAAAGCAAAAGGCAATCTACCTGCATTTGAAAGAAAAAAAAATATGCAGCCACCCCCCAAAAGAAAAAAAAACATAAAACAACCTGCAAAAAAAATAACCATCTCTTACTCATGCAGATGCAAATTCTGAGAGCTACGTTTAGAGTGCTTTAAAATTTCTCATGTAGATTTCTAAGCTTGAAAGACATCTCAGATCTTCTCAGCACTGTAGTCACAATCAAATCCTCACCTGAGGGTAAGGACAAAATCCTTAGGAAAACAACATGCTATTTTTTGAGACAAAGGGATTTATAGAAGGCTGTGGTTAGTTAAAACAAGCGTCTTTTTCATCCCTCCCACCTCAGTCCCCAGTGCGTTCTAACTCCTTTCTCACTAGCAATAGCGGATGGTGTTTTCAGGGTAAGAATTTTTACATTAATTATTGCTCAATGTTTCCACAAGCATTGGTACTATAGGCCCTTTTTGGCCCCCAGGCACTCAAGTAGCTGCCCACTTTCTAGTGCCTAAAGCCAGCCCTAAGACATCCTATTTTCCTGAGTCAACCGCTCTTTGTAGAATAGAGATCTGTAGATCAAACAGTGCACTGAGATCATCTGAACTGGAAGGATAAAAGAAGCGTGGAGCAGTATTTTCTGATCACCATAAGTATCAGAAGCAGTGGATGATCAGACTGAAACCACCAGATTTACTATTATGAACATACCTTTATATATCTTTTATCTCATTACCAAATACCATATATGATTTTCATGATAAATAAAAACATGTTTACACTAAATTAAACACCTTTTCGCTGGTACTGGTTTTGTGTTTTTTTTCCCCAGGTCAGAGAACACAGAGTTAAATTTCTTATAGGATATAAGGATTATAAATGAACTAAGTTAGATAGCAATAGGAGAGACTATCCTGTGTTCAGCATCTCCAGTCACCAGGCCTACAAGGACAGTTTAAGTTTTCCACAGACGTCTTGTTCAAGATCTCTGTGCTTACTGTATTTAACACAAATTTCCTCTGTATTCATTATAAATGCAAAATATCATAACCTGTACATTACTTGGTAAAACTAACAAGTAGCTCTGCTTCATCTCTGCCTTATCTCTGCCTTCTCCCCTCTTTCTACCATACAATCATGTATTGCATCTTAAGTTGACCTAATCACTTAATAGGTCTCTGATATATTTTTGTCTGGTAATCTGCATCTGCTAAAGCATCACATCATGGTACTTCTTTCCCAGTTTAAGGATGGAAGGAATTTGTAAATTTTCCATTATTTTATTAATAATTTGTTTTTAAAAAGAACAATATGACAATTAACACAAGTAGAAATTATCAGAAGAAAGGCCGACACTTTTTGTTACAGGCTCCTATGATCAACCTAGTTTAATGCATAGTACTAGCCAAAGTGTTATCATCTCAATGCTATGAAGACTGTGTGCTTGGTAAATGATTTCTGAAATCCAGAAGGAATCTTATCAACATTCAAAACTGACAAATGGACAAGGGCTACCATGAAATCAATATGCAGTGTAGATATTGTCTTTCGGACCCCATCCCCCAACATAATCTAGTTTGATTTCACTGAAGAACATGACAGACGTCAATGCTCTGCATGAATACAGATGACTTATTTATAGCAGAGTAATATGACAAACCAAGGGCTGATTTTGTGTCACCTGAATCTATGTATGTATCTCCACAGGCATAGGAATTACTATACGTGCATACAACAGATACTCAAAAATGTATGCTACACAAAATTCTGTGACACCAATAAGAAATCCCAGCTGTAGCTGCATCTATATGTTAGCCTGCAGAAGTTCCATCACATGAGTGGAAACCCCCAGAATAGGAAGTACAGTGGCTTCGCACGCTGCACTGAACCTCCAGGAGTGGAGGAAGCCCAGTGGCCATGCTTTAGTGCTTGCTGCTGTTTTCCTGTGCTGCCACACATCCCACAGCAGGGCAACACCACAGCCCCCACTACTGAGTGTTAGCTACAGTATTCAGCACATTGTCTGGCTCACTACAGAGTAGTAAGTTACTTTAACAATCAAGAAATCACGTAAACTAAGCATGTGAAATAATTCACAAGGAGAAGGGTTGTTTAATATTCACACTAAAAACCCTGGTGTTTCAGAATTACATACAACTGTAAAGGAACCTAAATTCTTTATGATGATAGAATACAAAGGAAGGGGACCACATAGTCTTAACTCCAGCTCCACTTCAAATAAGAAAGTTAATCTTTAAAAATCAGAGATCTTGGAATTATAGAATTGTTAAATGATAATCATAATTAGATACCATTTAGCATTTTCTATCCAATAAATGATTATGTCAAGAAGGAGAACAGCTATGTGAGGTGGTGATCTGAAGCATATTAAGGCATGTGGAAGGGTGCACATGTAGTCTTAAACACAATGCAAAATAGAGGGAGCAAAGAGACAAAGATGGGAAAGAACAGAGTATTCTTACACTGTCATTTGTTGTCTTATATGCATGTAGAGAGAATATGCAAAAAATATATGTGTGTGTAAAGAAGAACAACTTCAAAACTTTATCCCTATTACTATTAAATGATGAAATATCTTCAGTAGGATTCCTGGGTTTCTTAGTTTACGTTTTTGTGATCTTTATATCGTATCTTCCTTAGTTTTTATTCACTTTGCAGAGCTTCTTGTACCAATGGGTTCTATGTGCCTAGAATATGTGCC